TTCAACTTTGGTAATTCATACTTATCTAGGAATCTGGCCATTTCTTCTGTGTTTTCCATCTTATTGGCATACAGGTTCTCAAAGTAGGTATCGATGATCCTCTGGATTTTGGCTGGGTCCGTTGTAATTTCATCCTTTTCATTCCTAATTGCATGGATTTTGGCCTTTTCTTTCCTTTTTCTGATAAGGTTGACTAAGGGTTCGTCAGTTTTGTTTGTTCTTTTAAAGAACCAACTCTTGGCTTCATTGATTTGTTTTGTATTGTTCTCTTAGTCTCTATTGCATTGATTTCTGCTCTGATCTTTATGATTTCCTCCTTTGTATGAGCTTTGGGTTTGTCCTGCTCTTCTTTTTCTAGAAGCCTACGGTTCAGCCTCAGGCTGCTTAATGGAGCTCACTCTGTTTTCCTAATATGAGTATTCACTGCTCTGAATTTCCCTCGTTAGACTGCTTTCATTGTGTCCCATAGATTCTTATATGTTGTATTGACATTGTCATTTAATTATAGAAACTGATTTCTTCTTTAATTTCCTCTGTGACCCATTGATTATTCAGAAGTATGTTGTTCAGTTTCCATGTGTTTATGAAATTCTTGCAGTTTCTATTGCTACTGATCTCCAATTTAATTGCACTGTGGTCTGATAATATACAGGGGACAACTTCTGTTCCTTTTCACTTAGTTAAACATGTTCTATGAGCAAGTATGTGGTCTATTTTGGAGAACGACCCTTGTGCAGCTGTGAAGAATGTGTATTCTGATTTTGTGGGGTGGAACACCCTGTAAACATCTGTTCAGTTCATTTGTTCAAGAGTTTGATTGAGTTCTAGTATTTCATTGCTTATTTTTTGTCTAGTTGATCTATCTATTTGTGACAGTGGGGTATTGAGGTCCCCCAGTACTATTGTGTTAGTGCTTATTTGATTTTCCATACCTGTTAGTATTTGTTTTATATAGTTGAGCACACTAGTGTTTGGTGCATAGATATTTATGATTGTCATCTCTTCCTCTTGGATCATTCCCTTTACAAGCATGTAGTATTCTTCTTCGTCTCTCTTAATTAGTGTTGGTTTGAAGTCTACTTGATGTGCTGAGTTTTCTTCTGTGAAGTGTAGACCTTTTATCCTGGGAGGAAACAACAGAGTCTTCTTGAGTGGGACAGTATCCATGAATTTTCCCTGTGGATTTTAATGCTCTTAGTAGGAAGTGAAGCCAAAGTCAATTTCACTTTCAATGCCTAGATCTGACTGTATCTTCATAGATTTCAGGGAGGCAAACTGAAAAGTTTTAAGATTTTTGATCCTTTGGACTTCTCAGGTCCTGCGGAAGAAAGGAGGAAAGAAATAGATGGATACTGGATAATGCGGGACGTGAGTAGTGAAGGGCCAGATGAAAGGCAGGGAGGATGGATGTACAGAGGGAAGGAGAGAGGAAAAGAAAGAGAAAAAAAAAGGAAAAAAGAAACCGTTGATTCATTCAATAGAAATTTTTGGAACAGTTACTACATGCCATGCTTTGTTTTAATATAGAGTTACAAAGCCACAAAGTTTTTGGTCAAAGCTGCCATTGCTCACCCTCATCCCTAATGTTTATCTTCACCTTCCTGTCAGTACTAGGTAGTGGCTCTCTTTCTGACTGTCTCTGTGGACATGCCTGGGATCTTTCTGCCCTAAAGATTTTGCTGCTAGCCACTTAAAAATAAGACACAAAGAAGCCACCAAAGTTTCAGATTTTTTTTTTTGGTACTGGGGATCGAACTCGGGACCTTGTGCTTGCACGGCAGGTGCCAGAACCACTGAGCTAAATCCTCGGCAAAGTTTCAGAATGTTAAAAATGCTTCCTACTGTAATTCCTGGTCCATTTCTGAATCCTTTTTTGTACATTCTGTTGGAGCAGTTTGATTTTCCTTTGTTGGAGGAAAATTCATGAAATATTTCTTTTCTTTAAATTCCTCCCCTACTCTAAGTAATGGCAGCTACCTCTCTAGGAGGCCCCTCCCAGACTATTTATTCACTCATTTGACATTTTTTAAATGGTTATTGTTATCATAGT